TTCTTAACAGGAGGGTTAAATGAGATAATGTGCATTGCAAAGTGTGTGGTATGTACAGCTATAATTGTTATAACTCATCCAGGTTCATTCAAGTTTGTAAGAGTCTTTGGGAGTTTTGGTACTGGGGATTGAATTCAGGGCCATGTACTTGCTAGGCAAGAGCTCTACCACTTGTACCACACACCTCAGCCCTTTTGCTTTTAGTTTATTTTTCAGACACAAACTTTCCTGGGGCTGGCCTCAAACCTCAATCCTCCTCCCTCTGCCTCCTGAATAGCTAGGATTACAGGTGTGTACCACCATGCCTGGGCCTGTAAGAGTGTTAAAATATAAAAACAAAAGAAATAAAATATATAAATTGTATTTTAATTGGTAATCCATGGCTCCCCCACCCCATTTTTACATGGATATGTAAAAATATCCATGTCAAATATCCCATTCTCCATGAAATCACTCTTGCATTCTTACCTGACCCAACCAGAAATGGCTTCTTCATCACTTTTGACCTTCTCTTAACAGAGTTAATTTCTTTAATTTAGCATTTCTCATAATGCAGGTGATGTACTAAAGGCATTTAGTTTTGGCCTTACCTCCCCAACTAAACTGTAAGCTTTTGAAGGTGACTATTGTTTATACTTTTTATTCCAAGAAAATCCTAAAACACAATAGTCTCTAAAGAAAATGTATTTAATTGAATTTAAATGTAGCAGTAAATTATTACTTTTCACTCTTATTTTTGCAATATTCACATTTCGTATCACTGAAATTCTTTAATAGAACAGGTGCAGTTGAATTGTATCTGCATTGAACTTATGGTGAGGAAAGCTATGTGAATTTTAAGGTGGCTGTTTGCCACATTTCTCTGGAAACAGCACAATATGAATCCCAGATTTATATATATTCTACATTTGGAGGAATCCAAGTGTGTATATTGTTACTTTTTTTCTGTGGAGGAGGAATTGTACTGTAATGAATCTTGTCACTGATATGAAATCAACTTTACAGAGCAAAGAAATTGTGACACAGAACAAACTTTTGCCATCTATCTCTGAAAGATTATGGATTCTATATATACTATAATGACTCCCACCCAAATTTCTTCTGTTTAGTGCTAATGAATGATGGTGTTTTCTTTCTACGTTTGTTTCTTTTTTCTATTTTATTTAGATTTCAAATTGATGGATTTAACAATTTAATTTTGTTTAAAATAGTCACGGGTGCTACTATTTCTAATAAAAGAGGGAGAAGAAGGTGCATTTGGTTGTAATCTCAACTGTTAGTTGGATTATCATATCACATGAATAATGAAATATTTACCAAGGTTCTGAAAACAGTACTGAATCTAGATTGTATATTCTGAACATCAGCTCTGAAAAATCTGTCTTTCAGTTTGTGTGAGGTGAATGTTATAATTCATTCACTATTACCCATAACATGTTCTTCTCAAGAACTGGAATTTACTGTTGATTTAAATTTTGCTTCATAATTTCCAGCTGTATTTTATTTACTTTTAGTTATTATTTCTTGAAAATGTTGAAGGAAGTAATAAAAAAAAGATGTGGTCTGGTGGGTTACTGATTGAGCCCTCAGGGATGTGAATCAGAGCAAAGGTAAGAAATTGATCTTTGATCAAAACTGGATATGGAGCAGCAACCACTATTGAGATGATGTCACCAAATATTAGCTCATTGCTTCACTTGCATCCTGCTTAGTGTAAGACTATCAAATTAAAGTTAATGCTTCTGTGAGTTTAAAGAAAAAAATTAAAGACTTTTCTTAAGATCACAGTTTAATTTTGTTGATAGTTACAACTATTACCAACTTTATTAAGTAATGTAAAAAATTTAAAGTGATAATGTAAAGTACTTAATATTTTCTGTTTTAAAAATATGACTTGCTACCTTAATTAACATTTGAGATATCCATAATCAAATAAAACAACATCATAGTAAAAATCAGTATAAAAATAGCTGAGATTAAAAAAAAAAGTAGGTCCCCATATGTTACCTAGTCTACACTTGAATAAATTTGTATTGTCTTGCGTGATGGCAGAAGAAATAATTCTCATCTTGTTTCACTTATTCATTCAATCATTTTGTTCAAGAGACATTTCTTGAATATTGAATGAAATACAAAGAAAACTTGACATTATTATTTGAAAAACCAGGATGGGGTCAGTTGTGGTGGTTCACACCTATAAATCCCATCTACTTATAAGGAGGAGACAGGAGGATCAAGGTTCAACTGAAGCAAAAATGTTAATGAGACTCTCGCTCAAGATATAGAATCCTACCTTCACAGGAGACAGAGGTAAGAAGATTGTGGTCTGAGGCCAGGTGGGGCAAAAAGCACAGATCCTATCTGAAAAAATACACAAAAGCAAAAAGTATTGGGGGTATGGCCCAAGTGATAGAGTACTTGCCTAGCAAGTGCAAGGCCCTGAGTTCAAAATCTAGTACATGCCAAAAATCAAAAACAAAAACCCAAACCAAACAACCAGAAAAACCAGGGCTGAGATTGAAGTTGTAAGACCAAGAAATAGATAACTTATGAATAAAAATAGAATATCAAAGCCTGGTGTATGGTTCTAGGGCAAACATGCTAGCTTCCAACTTTTCAGGAAACTAAGGAATTTATACAAAGAAAATAGCATTTTTGTGTAATCTTCCAAGATGGAGAGAGTTTTCCAGGAGAACCTGAGGAAAAGGACATTCAGGCATAGGGAGCAGTATGTGTAAAGTCAGGGTCACATTTAAAAGCCAGAAAACTGTCTCTGCCTTTAAATTGTATAGGAACTCACTCACTCACTTCAGTAACCATGAATAATGACAAGAGAGTAGATCAGGTTTTAGGTGGAATAATTTATGTAACATTTATCGAACATTATCATACTGTGTGCTAAACTGAATCTTGTTAGGCCTTTCCCCTTTCTAGTGAGTATGTCTAATTAAAAGACAACCAAGACAGGGATGAAAACAGCATCTACTCAATCAGCAGCTATCATTAAAAGGCCCATGCCGTCCGTATAGATTTATAGATGAACTGCAGCATTTTGAAATACACTGGGATGAAAATTGACAGTAGGTACAAACTTCAGAGTATAGATTTATTATTCTTTAGGTAGCAAATCCTAAGGTAGGTGGGCTGCCCATTCTGGTCCTAGTGAAATTTTACAGAAGTCCAAGCATAGTTCTGACTAGTAGAACCATGTTGAATCCAGCTACTTTTTCTAAGCTACCAATAATAAGCAGGAATTTGTGAATACTATGAAATATTCTGATGCTAAAGCGTATAGGCAGAGTTTTGTACAGTGTTGAATAATTCATCCAGGAATTTAGAAAATAAGATATCCATTCATGCCATCCTAAACTTTAGTGTTGGAAATCTCTTATTCCCCTGATGGGTTGTTTGCAATAATCTCTAAGAATGTTATTATAAGGCTATAGTTTAGACTGTCATAACCATGTGCTCCTGTAGCATGAGACATGAAATGTTATAGTGAAATGGTAATGTATATGTTTTAAAACATGATAAAAAGGAGAGTCTATTATATAAGTTGTCATAAGTTGTTTCAGTCTAATTGCAACTACATGTGCAATAGTAAGTTTTTTGCAAAGTTACAGATGCATTAGTGTTGTAATATCCCGAGTACAGAGTTCTAAAATGAAAAGCAAGCATTTCTATTTGCTTTTCTGATTGATTTCATATGGAATTAATGGTTCTAGTAATGTAAGTTATTAAATATGTATTTAGTTTTCGACCTGAGTAATATTCACGTAATAAACTGAGTGATAAGTTGGGCCACTATAGGAATCTAATCTGTGTGTATATCCTTACATACTTCATTTCTTCCTCATCTTCAGTTTCATGTTAGATCTGTTCTTTTTTCTCATTTTCACTACCTTATTAACATTTACATTTCTGCCAAATTCTGAAGTTATGTAATATTCCTGTTAACTTGAACAGGCTATGTAAACACCCTGAGCCAGCCCCATCATTAAAATGGTGATAATGATACTGGGCTCTCTCACAGGGTAATTTGGTGATTTCAAAAGTATCAGGATACTATAAAATTGGTTCAGTATTGGGGGGATACTTTTGGAAGGGGTAAGGGTGAATGAAAGAGATGAAAATGAGGGAATATGGATGATGGGCTTCATATACATTCGTGAAACAACAGTGAAACCTCTTGTAATTGTTTCAAGTAGAACAAAAAGGGGATTGCAGAGGTAGGGAGAAGATAAGTTAGGGCAGTCTAACCTATGTACAATGTAAGGCACAATGAATTTTCCTGTACAATGAATACATGCTAATAAAAAATGGAAAAAAGTATCAAGCTATCAGCAGTTAAAAGAGGCATTATATTGGTGCATATTTTAATGTTTGAATTTTCACAAATGATAGAAGCAAGTTTGTCTCATTTAATAGATGTGTGACACAGTCTTTGCAGAGGGATGAAACTCACTAAGAAGGTTAAATATTGCAATAGGTTGTCTAAGTACCTTTGTGCTTACAAGTGTGCGTGCATGTGTTATGCAGGCACCTAACTCACAGAACTTCAACTCCATTATCCTGCAGGTCAGGACTCACAGAGCAATGCAATTTCACATCCTTTCCTGTCACCCTTCAAATGTTTCTGGGAAGAATTAGGTGGCAGATTTATTCCACAAGAATAATTCCCTAAGTATTAACCATAGAGACTCTACACAGCTGACTTTGGCATCTATTTCTGAGAACTAATCTCACCCAACCTCCTCTCTTCTTCTATTCCATTGTGCCATTGGTGGGTCTTTTCCCAAAATCCTTTTGCATTTAACATCTGTGCAAATGTAAACTATGTATGTACTTACAGAGGAGTATTTCCACAGGAAAGCCTAGGTCTCCCTTAGTTTAAAATTAGTATATGTCTGTGGTTCAAAGAATTACTAGGAGTAACCAAGATGCAAATGCCATTTAAAATATAATGTCTTTGACTAACAAAATTTTATACCTCATTTCAGAGCATGATGAATGCATCACAAATCAGCACAACTGTGATGAAAATGCTTTATGCTTCAACACAGTTGGAGGACACAACTGTGTTTGTAAGCCTGGCTATACTGGGAACGGAACTACATGCAAAGGTATGGTTTCAAGGTTTCAATGCCAACACCTCTTCCAGTATGTATAATGCAATACATCTCTATTTCCCTCTTCCCCATGTCCATCACTGCACGTACCTTCTGGTACATGTGGCACGAGAGCTTGGGCACGTAGCTCTTTTGGGTCTTGCCATACTCCTACTGCAATGTTTAAGAAACCAAACAGTTCAGCTCCTTTGCCCTAATGTTCTTTTAACCTCTGCCATGGTGGTTTTAAATCTCAATCCTTTTACCAAGCCACTTCCATGCCCACATCCATCTTTGCAATCTTAAATGTCAACATTTTATCGATTAACCCCAAGTTCCTCTCCTTTCAATGTTCTCTCTGTTCCGTCAATTCTTTTTTTTCTTTTTTTTTTTTTTTGGCAGAACTGGGGTTTGATTTGAGGGCCTCACACTTGCTAGGCAGGAGCTCTGTCACTTCAGCCACTCTGCCAGCTACCTTTTTTCAAATTCTTAATCTAGAATTTCTTTGAAACCTTCTTTTCATTCAGTTTATCAGCACCCAAGCTTCCGATGTTTCTTTTTGATTGCAAACATGAATATATCGCTTCTGCAACTGTAGAAAATCAACTATGCATATGGGATCTGTGTATCTTATAGTTTTCCATGTTTATCAGTTTAGTTGATAATTATTTTAAATGTCCTGTTGAACAAATATTTTCATTTCCTTCAGTGGATATTCCAGTTGTAGTTCATAGCCATCCATTTACTCACATTTTCACACTGTCCTCTTTTCTTTTTTTTAATCAGATTTGCTTACCTACTATTTCACAAGAGAAATAGGGGTCTATTTTCAAAACTTGACCAAACCCCATAGGACAAAGCCCATATTCCTTATTATGTCTTATGATTAGTCTAACTAGGCATCTTAAGCTGTAAAGCTGCCCATCCCTTAGATATACTTTTATCTTAGAACTCAGTAAAATAGATTTATTATGATATTGTATATATGGGAGATAGTAAAGACCAGAGAATTGTTGGGGACATGACTCATAAGCAGGGGTCTTAAGGCATGGTCTAAGTAATGCATTGGAGCCAGATATAAGAAGGCAAGAGGATTTCTTTGCTTTTTAAAAATCCATGTTAATTTTTAGTGTATAATATTGTTTGTAATATTTCAGCAGACCTACCTGTTTTAGGGTCCAAATCACATAAGGATTTGCTTGAAAAATCAAGACAAATAATATAATAAACTAGTAGAATTTCCTTCAAGCATCTGGGTCATCTGAGAGTTTGTTGGGGCTTAAGATTTCATCTGGGTGCCCTAATTCTTCTTTTTCTCATTTCTGCTTGATTCTGATTCCTAACTGATCTGAGAAATAAAGTTTATAGCATGAAGAACTCTTGCAGTTGTGAGCAGATACAAACAGATAATTCTTATATTTGAAGGGAGGAGAAATTTCAAAAATCTGTAAAGTCCATCTGCAAGTTAGGATTCCAAGTTATCTGAACAAAGACTCTCAAGTTCATTTGTGCATCTCTGTTGGGAATAAAAAGCTGATAGATGGGTAGTTTAGATGTAGGATCTGAATCATTGAGTTCTGTGCTGTATTAACAAGCTTGCAGATTTCTCCAGTGAAAATATGCACATGGTCTGACAGATGTATTCTTTATTATTTATGAGATTTAAATACTAAATCCATTTGCAAATCCATTTGCTGAGCCAGGTATTCATTTTACATAGGATGGAGACAAATTTAGGGTCCAGGACCAACAGAGACAAATGGTTTCTTTGGGCCCAGTTCTTTAATTCAGCACCAGAATTTCAGATTTCTGCATTTTACTACCCTACGAAAGTATATCCAAGCCAACTTGCCAGAAAACTTTAGCCCCAAAACCTGGAACAAGCTGGTCTTGTTCATTCACAACAGACCTTGTCAGGTTGAGAAAAGAAGCCCCTGCACCTCACAGGTCCAGTGTATGCTGGAGTGAGCAAAATAGCTTAGAAGGGGCTCAGTCTCACTTACCTTGGTTTCTTTTTCACTTCTTCTGGTTTTCTCACCTATTGTATTTTTTTCTCTTTTCTGTGCTTCTTTAAAGGCAGTGTAAACTAAACTATCACCCTTGCTATGGTTCAGACCTTAGCTCCTTTTTCTGCTCAGAGAAAAACTCTCCTCCTCATTCCCAAATTCATTTTAACATACCAGGCTCCACATGTCTTAGCCCTAAATCCTATATCCTGACCTGCCCTTAGCAGAGGAAGGCTAGGTTCCCTGAGGATCACGACAGTAAATAATTCTTAGTATTGTATAATTCAAAGGTACCTGGGCTGGCTTAGAACATTTGTAGGATGAAATCATCTCCCTAATAATTTAGCACTTAGGTAAATGTGTGAAATGGTCAGAGCTTTGTGAGATTCAGTCATTTACCATTCTATGATTTCATCTTCTAGAGGTGGTTTGCCATCTAGGATAGCTGCCATGTTTTAGTTTTATTTTCAAGTTAGATTTTTATAATAAATGTAAACTGAATTTTAATGCACTTATGGTGTGTAAAGTTACTGTATTTTGTTAAAAGAAATTTCAGTATTTTGTTTTACAGATGAGATATTTATTTAACATTGGAAAAAGTAGTTTTAAAAATCATATTGAAGTTTCTTACATACATAGAAAATATTGTATGAGAATAAAATAACTTTTATTATTTGATATTCACACCTCCAGAGAATAAAGAAAAATTGGGGTTGGAGATTATTGAACTACTTCTAAAGTGGTAGAATCATGTATCTGATTTCTTTTATCTGATATATCCATGTATTTGGATTATTTTAGCATTTTGCAAAGATGGCTGTAGAAATGGAGGAGCCTGTATTGCTGCTAATGTGTGTGCCTGCCCACAAGGCTTCACTGGACCCAGCTGTGAAACGGGTAAGAATATCATTTCATCTTTTAGAAAATGAACTTTTACACCAATGCATAAAGTAATCCATGAGGAAAATAATGTTTCAAGTTTCAAGTGGACTCTCAAAGCAGGGAGCCATTAATAAGGAAGTTCCAGAAGGGAGGAGGTGGGAAGCTTCAGTGATGCCTATTCACTGGGTGTTCCCCAAAGTCACTCTAAGGAGGTTTTGCAGCTATTATAACTAGATGCATATTGAGCTTTTTCAGAAGGATGCATGTGGGATTGACCAGGATTTTATGACTTCATAATTCTTACTACTCATTTGGAGCTCATTTTTACTGGAATCAATGACTATATCAAAGAGTTCAAGGTTATGGCCAACTCTGTTTCTAGGATATGCTACCTTCCTCATTTACATTTGAGAATTTTTAGTAAGCTTTTATCTGGTCCATTCATTCATTGTCATTTATTTACAAAGTGTTTAAAGCTTTCTCTTCTTACATTATTCTTCATTCAAGACCATTCTAAACTTTTTTCTGATGTGTACTAATGCTAGAAACTTCAAAAATTATATTGAAAGCAATGTGAAGTATATTATAGTATATATAGCTTATGACACCAAGCTCATATGGTTTGTCAGATGAAAAACACACAGCTCAGATAAAAAAGGAAGCATTTTCAGTATTAACTCCTAATTAAGATCATGTCAGTTGTAGTTTTAGTTGTTGTTGGTTAAGTGGTACCGATAGCAGATGACCTCAGGGACTCTGGTTATTCTCCCTAAGAGAAATCTACTGCCAATGGTGATTGGCAGTTATATACTACCTTTCATAAATCTCAGTGCAATAGATATAGCACATGCTCAGACTCTATTTTTACCTGCAAGTCATCTGGTTTAATAAAAACATTGATCAGAACTTGAGACACAGTAAACATTTCACTGAATAGTTATTACCAGAGTACACAGAAGGATGCTCAGAAAAGGGCTTATATCACCAGATCATCTTTTTCTACAAGTACTCTAAGTGATGGTTTGCAGACTTCAGTGACTAATTGATATCAGATCCCTAACAAGAAATACATAGTGACTAACTTTGATATGTGGGACTCTTTGAGGTGCATAATTTCCTAAATGCAGAGTTCTCCAAATTTATTCTGTATGTGAAACATCCAAAGAACTTGTTAACTTGTTAAGCATAGAGATTTATGATAACTAATTGCAGTAGAATATAATAGGTCAAAATCAGACATCTCTAATGCAGTGGTCTCTCTACCAGCATACCCACACATATCCAGGTGCCCTGTGGACCTCTGTACATCAACACTGTGGTGATCAGATTTCCTGAATACAGTGTTTTGTACTGCTTCTTGTACCGTCTGGTTACTGAAATGCTGACTTTTTTTTTTAATCTTTCAATGCTGTGAGAATAATGGTATGGAATTTTGAATGAAAACTATCTCTGAAAGTCTTGGATAAATAGTGGCCATGCCCAATCCTGCATATCATTCTTCCACTAGAAAAAAATCATATGATAAAATTGTAAAATCTGGACTGGCATAAAATTAATTTAAGCAATATAATATTTAAGCCTGGAGTAAAAATAACCTCCCAAAATATTTAGCTCTCTCTACTTAATTATCCTTGAACTTAAAGTATATATGAAGACAAGCCCATACTGATTCTAAGTAGCTGGCTGTTGCAGCTAGGGACTTTGAGAACAGATGTCGGCTGAAAATCTAGTTCTGTGGTTTACTTGTTATGTGACCTTGGGCAAATTACTTAGCTTCTCAGTGTCTGTACCCTCTGTAGGTCACCTTATTCTCACAGTTCTCTTCCAAGGTATGTATTATCTCTGTTTACATAAAAAATACTGGGGTCAGAGTGATTTTTTTTTTAATTCCCTGAAGTCAGAATTAGCCACTGAAGACAAAGCTCTTCCTACTCCCAAACTTTAATCCAGTGCCTCCCAATATGTTTCTTTGGGGACCTTAAATCCATAGATCCCAAACTGAACTCATCATCTCTTCCATTTCTCCTACTTCCTCTCATTCTGCTAAAACTGGATACTTTTATTCTTCATTTCAGTGAATAGCATTTGTATGCACCAAATTTGTAAGGGCAGTAATCAAGAAGTGATCTCATTCTCACTCCCTTCCTATATCCAGTCAAGTCTTCCTGATGGCATTTCTTTCCATTCTGGCTGGCACTGCAATATTTCTGGGTTCTCAGGTTTGTCTCCATTCCAATCTCCACAAAATATCAGAGCCCAAATCTGACCATATTACTCCTTATGGCATTTTACCATACCCTTGGGGTAAAGGCCACATTTTTCAACATTTATATAATTTATTCACCCACATTCATGCTCTTGTCTCTGTCTCCCCACCTCCTTCCCATTGTGAGGCATTGGACTTTGTGAAGATACAGGGTGTATCTTGTTCACTTTTGTATCCTTGAGACACAGTAGAAGACCTACATCTTAGTAGATATTCCATAAGTATTTGGTGAACAAGTAAATATGTAAATAAACAATCGATTAAATCATAAGGAAAAATGGTGTGGGAGCATCCATTTCGCTGGATTTAGTTTAAAGAAACCATTGGGATGATGTATCTGGTCCTATACTCTTATTTTTTTTTTTTCATATTTGAAACTTTATTTTCTCAAATGAGCACCAACACAGATTGGAAATATGACAGGAACACGCACTTTTCTCTAACACTGAATCACTATGTACAAATACAGGACAGGGGAAGACAAATTATTTGAAAACAATTACCTTTGTTCCTATACTCTTATAAGGCACAGAGTTAAGTGTCTTATTGCAATCTAGAACTCATTCCTAGTCCTTTGTATTTTCTCTCCCTTCCTCTTTTAATACATCAACCATGTTGTCTGCCCAGGAATTCTTCATCCTATTATTCTCAATCAGATCTGTACTTTTTGTTATTCTCATACCTTCAACTGAAAAATAAGCCTGTTGTCTTTAATGGTGAAGTCTGTAGCCATTTTTGTTTCCCTTGGTAAGGAAAACACCAGGATTATCAAGATTTCCAACCGTAGGAATGGCCTATATTTTGCCTTCTGGGATTGGATGCTATTTGAAAGTTAGAAAAGACATTGTGGTTCCAGTAGCAATAGTCATCTATTGAGCTCTAACAATGGAATCAGAAGGTGAATTAACAGAATTTGTTTTTTTAAAATTCAATCTTAATATGCATGCCAACTCTTGTTACTTTAGTTGAGATGGTCTCCCTAGAACGCCCTCTGTTCATTAATTTATTGTTTCCACATTATGTGTATCTTAGTAGAAATGGTTGAGTTCATTTACTAACTTCCAGAAACAGCTATGTGTATGATTTCTACTGAGAGAAATTAATTTTTCATGGACTTCTTTTGTAGCCACGTACAAAAAACTCTCACATGTATAGCATAACTTCATTAAACATCCTAAAATTCCATCAGGTTTTTAAGTTGGATTTAGAAGGGTGATCATTTCTTGGATAACTCAATAAAATGTGTTTGAAATCTATGTGCTGAGGTTTAATAGCTCTATCACTGCCATTTTGTATTTAATACACGATTACTAAAACTTAGGAAACATATATCAAATGATCTAATTAATAAGCAAACCTGTCTTACTACACTCAAAGTAAATCTTTCAATAATGATTTAAGGCATAACACTGAAAGATTTGATAGTCTCCTATAAGCAACTACTGACTTAAATCATATTAAAATGTTTATTCTGGGAAAAAAGTTGTATCGAATGACAAAGCTGAAAAAAATATGTTGAAATATCCAAGGGGAAATCAGACATTTTGGTGATACATGGCTTATTTTTTTTCCTGTGTGTAAAATAATTGGTTTCTTAGCCACAGATCTCACAGGGATGAGATTTTAATATTTTTAGTGAGTAGTTAAGGGAATATAAATTTAAGTTGCATTCCTAAGTGTTTTGTAGCTTGTTAATGTATGTAGTTTCAAAGGGACAAAATGAAGCAAGATGCATATATGATTGTTACTTTACATCAAACAATTTCAAATGAATTGAGTTTTTAAAGTTTATATATTATATTAGTATATATTAGATTTTATTTTATTTATTTTTTTTACAATATTTTAGAGTATAGGTAGTAAAAATTCTTTTTTGCTGCAAAACACAATTTCCTATTAGTATGTACAATTAATGTTTATTATTAATGTCAAACTATTAAATTTCCTGATGTAATTGAATTAGCACATTTTTATCATAAAAGTATTTGTTGATTTAATTTCACCATCACTTAGCATTTGAAGGAATATTTTCAGCAGCTTACATTAATTTACATCATTTTACATGGGAAAACTGAAAGATGTTCAGAAGCAAGAGAAATTTCTCAGAACATTTCTGATATAGCATACCTTTTTTTTGCCAAAATGACTTAGTGAAATTCCACTCTGAAACATTTATCTTTTATTGGAGAAGAGGAGAATTTAAGTGGAAAACCAGAGATAACTTGATAAATGTAATTTTTTAAAAATGAAAAAAAACTTGACAAACCTTGCTTTACCAGCAAAAAGTCTTTTTTCAGTTTTATTTTGAGTTTATTTCTGTTCTAGCTGAAAAAATACAAGCTTTGTATATAAGAATCATAAATGTTATTGCAATAAAAGAAATTGGGGATGCAAAAAGCTCTGTTTCTGGTCCTTCCCTATTAAAGGCACTTTTGTGGATCTGAATTTCTCAAAGAGATGCAGAGCAGGTCGTTTGGTGGCTTTTGTAACATGCTAATCTACCTAAGAGAGAAATCTCCATTTTACACTGAGACCAGTCCAATCTTGAAATTCTGGCTTTAATGATAAAGTGATTAAATTACATTTGATGAATGCATGTGTATTAATCAACTTTGTATGAATTAAGGGTTAGAGACCAATTATACTCTTCCTTTTAAGAATGAAAATTATCTTTAAAAAGAAACAAAAACAGGACTGGGGCATGGTGGGGGGTGCTTAGAGATAGAGAGCTTGCCTCACATGAGCAGAG